AGTTATAATGAATTTATGTGCTGGACAGAACAGTTCTCTGCATCCATTCATAAATCAAGCTAAAACCCCAGGCTCATCCCAGGAACAAGCAGACTGAAGTCTGCTGGTTGAAACCAGCACAGCCACAACTGTGTAGCCAGGAATATTCTGCTAGGCCTATATTTGGCACATAGCCTTAGGCTCCAGGAGATCAAAGAGCACATTGACTGGATGGCTGCAATATGTGCAGGCAGCAATGAGGGACACCAGAGACACGCAGTCAGTTCTCTTTACAAATGTGCCAGCAACTGCTAGCCCCAGCAATGAAGTTATCACAGACAGAACATTCAACCCTAGCTTTTATATGACATAGTTAAGAGTCAATTCTGCTTACCCAGGTTCCTCTGTCAGCAGCACTTGCTGCTTCCAGCACAGACACCTGCAGCATAGGAAAGATAGAGCAAAGGAAGAATTGTAGCTGACTTTAACGCAGCGTTATTGTACAGCTGATCATAGAATAGTGTCACAGAATGGTTTGTGTTGGAAGGGACCTTAAAGCTCATCCAGTTCCAACTCCCTGCCACAGGCAGGGACACCTTTCACTAGCACAGGTTACTCCAAGCCCCTGTGTCCAACCTGGCCTTGAACACTGCCAGGGTTTAATATGACAAGAAATGCACAACACAGACTATTGTGGTGGAACCACAAATTTGAGATTAAAGGTCTTTTGGGATGAAATAACCACCATGAATCAACATGATTCATGCATGAATCAAAAGATTCAGGCATTGGCTTCTTAGTGATGATGGGCAGTAAGGAAACAATAACCAGTTCAGGCATAAGGGAAAGTAGTTAAGAAATAACTACATCAAGAACAAATGACTGTATCTTAGTCCTGTATACATAAAGAGGTACATCCATCCCCTGCAGATATACAGTGAAAGGTGGCAAACTGTATAAATGTAACAATCACCCAAAGCCTATCATTTCAATTCGTACTGAGGACTCTGGTTTTAGACACACACACATCATGCAGCATGCTATAGTAAGCTAAGGAATGATTCAGAATGCCATAGTTCCAGCCCCAGATTTTTTTCACTCATCTTCCACAAAGCTTTGCTAAAATCACTCTTGGCAAGCTTCAATATCTCTAATAGAACTGTCAGAAAGTTCAGGTATGATAGAAAAACTTCACTATTATTTATGAGGTGCTTCAAGTGATCTAGAAATGCAAGTTATTAATATCAGTTCTTACTGTGGGTGACTAAACCATGCTCTGCAATATGGATTGGAAACCTAAAGAAGTCACAGTGCACTGCTGACAGGAAAGTCTTATCCTGCTACTTCTGCTACCAACCACACTTGGTGATCATCCTGCTCCCCCTTCAGAAGCTCCCAAGTGCTGGAAAAACGAGGATTTTCAGCAGAGAGCATTGTGTTGTCAGTAAAACAGCTTACAACAGACTGTTCTATTGGAAATAGTTTTTCAACCAGGGATATTGAGACACAAACCCCACAAAAACAAAGCTGTGGCAGCCTACATAATATATGAAAAAAAGCATCAAGCTTGCAGGATTGTCCTGCTTTAACAACTACAAACAGAATTCAAGAACAAAGGGCATTCTAACAACTGTTTGTTTTGCTTTCCTGGCACTTAGGTATTGCAAGTTAAAAAAACCAGTAAAGATGACAAACCCAAAGTTATAAAGAGGCATTTTTATTACAGGACTGCCTTGAATGCACATTCCCTGCTCAGCAAATCTCCCAATACTCCCTCTACTGTAAATGCACTAAGAGTTTTGGTGAGATTTGTAGTGTATATTTAGTCTTTCAGAAAAGTGTTGGAAATGCGTATGTTTTGTTACTGATCTATCCTGCCTTTTTTCACTTCAGCCACTATTCTCCCCCTTGCACAACACACGTGTCTGTCAAGTACTGAATCTAGATCTGTTTTCCCTGTAACATACTAAGTTACACAACTGCAATGAAAAGCTTCTACAGATCATCAGGAGTTTGCAACTATAGTATTTTCCTAAGGGATCTATTTTGAAATGATAATTATTATGATTAGCAAGCTATTAATATATTATGGGTTTTATATATTAGCATATTAAATATATTATTATACACACCCAGCTTCAATTATTATTATAACCTTTAATATTAAAAATGTCATTTTTTCTATTACTTCCCAAATCTTTGGAAAGCAACGTTTATCTGCTCAAGAAAGAAATCAGATATAGACAGATGTAATGGTTAAGTATTCAATAAGAATTTAAGGGAAAAGTGCCCTTGAGAGGCAGATGAGCACAAGGCATTTTCTGCATTGGACATGAGAAGCAGAAAGCAACCCCTCCTAAAGCACCTGAGAAAAATATGAGGGATAATTCAAGATGTGAAGTAAAACCTGCAATTTTCAACATCCCATTTTGCACTTTAAAACTACAGTGGTTTAGTGTAAAGGCCTAGCTCTTGTGTTTGGATGTGTACTGTATATACATATGTGTATATATGTATGTAGGGTTTGTAAGGAAAGAGATGTGTTTTATTAGACCAGTATAGCTGGAAGAAGGACATAAGCCCTTTGTTGGTCTAATATAAGCTAAATCTCCCTTGAAACCTTTTCTCTCACATCACCATGATCATGGTTACGAGACTATTTACACACAAATTAAGAACATCTCCCTCGGTGAGCTTGAAAAATTGCACCTCCAGCATTCCACTGCAATACTTCAGTCACTTAAAACACAGCAGAAATAGGACATTCGTCTAGTTTCATACTTCATCTTCAACACTACAGAAACTCTATGTTCTCCTAACAGACACAAGCATCATGTTGCAAGTCGACCAGAAGCCCAGGATAACAAAACAAGCTTTGACACTGGAAGGAGAGAGAGGCAGCAGCGTTGGGGTCTTAGTGTTGCCATATAAACTATAAGGTCCACAGGGAAATCTAAGTGGTGTATTTTTCTGTTTACCTTTAGGTGACAATGTCCAAATGCTTCAACACATCACTGAACGGCTGTTACAAACCCTCCTGTCACTAGAAATAAAAATGGATGGATGAATAATGGTCAGGCTGGAGCTTCTGCCTCTTGCCAGGAGTAGTGAGCAGAGATCTAAAACCAGCTTGTAAGCAATATGCAGCCAATCTAGAGCTATGTAATCAGACCTAAAATCATCAACATTACACATACATCAACTTACCTCTGCATAGGGGGTCGCTGGTGTTTCTCAAAGGACCTTGGTTCATTGACTGAAGTCAGAAAAAGAATTACTTGTTTCACAATCTTTTTTCCCAACTGTATTCACTGGCAGCACTGAATGGGTTGGTTTTTTTCCTTTCTAAAAGCTTGCATTCTAATTTAATTGAAGAAATAAGATAAAGTCTGCCTACCTATATATATACATATATATAAAAAGAGTATTTCAAAACAAACACATTGTAAAATGTCCCCTTCATGTAAAATCCTACCACAGATGAAAGAGATTTTTGTTTTAATATGAGTAACAAAACCCCTAAAAGCAAATACCTCTTAACAGAAAAAGGAATGGGATTTCCATTTTTATTTCCACTCATTGCCACGTTTTTCTACATCTTCCTGTAAGATCATCACTTCAATACTTTCAACCGCAAAGCAAGGATAACTCAAACACATGCAAATGAAGATTACCATGCTGACTGTACTGGCTAGCCCATCACAAAAGGTAGAGTTTTACCTATATTGTGCATATTTGTCTCCACAGTATAAAATGTGTGGCTTCAGGGGGCTGGGGACAAGAGGGATGCTCAGCACTGGATGCCAGTTTCCTGAAGAGAAGTCATCTTTTAGGATAAGGTACAGCTGCAAAAGCTGTGCAGTCAAGAAACCTTGCTGTATCTATCTACTCTGTAATGTATTTCCACATCATCAATCAATCACTTCTATCCAAATGGGTACATGCAGACCAACTGTCATGGCAGTGAAAGTGCACTCTGATGAGGAACCCTGATCATTTTAAAATGGCAACAGCCATCCTTGCAAAGAGTTTAGGGAGTGCAGCGATAGGACAAGGGGTAATGAGTACAAACTAAAACTGGGGAAGCTCATGTTAGGTATAAGGAAGAAGTTCTTTACTGTGAGGGTGCTGAGGCACTGGAACAGGCTGCCCAGAGAAATGGTGAATGCTCTATCCCTGGTAGTGTTCAAGGCCAGGTAGGACAGAGCCTTGGGCAACATGGTCTAGGGTGAGGTGTCCCTGCCCATGGCAGCAGGGTTGGAACTAGATGATCATAAGGTCCTTTCCAACCCAAACCATTCTGTGATTCTATGATTCAGTGCTACAAACTACGGTTCTTACACAGCGTTTCTTTCAGAAGGAAGACTTCTTTGAAAATCATTTAACTCCTTGTTTTAAATTGAACTTTGTTCAACCTTTTCAGGTTGCTTTGAAGAAAAATGTTGAATCAATCCATATTCTAAAATGTCTTAGAAAGAAGAAAAATCCCAGCAGTAAATCCACCTAATTAAGTGGGGGTGTATCTCGCCCATAGGCTATTACCACATCTCAGCTTAATATTTTTAAAGATACCAGATGTGGTACAGGCAGTAAGCTCTCCTCATTATTTCTCAAATGAAGCTGAAGAGATGTAACCCAAATTACAGCAAGATAAACCAGACATCTTAAGTGATGAAAACGGTACATTTTCCTCTGCTTTAGGGACGCTTCTGGCTCATCTGTCCTCTGATCAAGGTGAGCCTGGTAAAGCTGAAAATTACACGGTGTGACTGGATTGTATGAGATTATCTTTCCCCTGAGAAGTGATTTATTTTAGTAACTCTTGATGAATAAGAAACTTTCTGCTCCAACATGCTGCTCTTCTTGTGTGGGCATGGCTCCTTATTGCTTTGAGTGAGAGAGCACATTTAAGAAACATTGAATATGAGTGGCTACATCTTCTTTATGTTCAAAGACAAAATTGTGTTAGATGAGAGACCTTCAGGCACCACGAGTTTCCAAAAAATTGGAAGTTGTTATCATTAGTTTGTAGGTTTAACTGCAAAAGTTACTGGCCTATCTTCCACTTTTTGAGTGTGAGGAAAATCCAGTTTGGGTTTTGAGTGATCTCGCTTTGTAGAATTTGGGGCTTCTTGATTCTTAGACGATTCCAGGAGATGTTGCATGTTAAGTTGGAAAATGAGGCGAGGATCTGGTCCAGAAAGAGATGGGCAATTGCAGCTCTCTCTTATTTTAAGAGCCTGTGAATACATAGGAAAACAAATCAAGCTCATTTAAGTAAGAAAAACAAGGAAGGTTTCAGTCAGCGCTTTGGCTTTCCAGTAAGGTCTGCATTTGCACACAGAGCTTAGTGAGTACAATACTGAGCGTGACTTGTTAGCAAACAACTTCTCAACAGAAACCAAGAATTCCTGAGAAGAAATGTAGCAATATGGTAAAACAATGGGAAAAAAAGAAGAATGATAATCATTCTCACAGACAGTCTCTCAAAGAATGGATACTCTAAAGGTACAGTGTAAACAGATGGGAAGTTCTCCAGCTATTTTATGTGATACTTGTCCACATCAGTACCTTCTACCTTTTAATTTACATTCACATGTAAATTAAAATAACTGCATCAAGAAAAACAGGGCTCTGAATAATTTACTTCATATGTTCTACAACTGAAGTAACTATATGGAGATGCCCGACTCAGAAAAGGAGGGAAAACCCTCCAGTAACATAACGGACATTAAACTGTTTGGCCTAGAGATCCAGCTGGTTGATGAGTATAGTTAAGGGCCAATTACAGGAGTGATCTCATCTCCAAGAAGCATTTGACTGCACAGCTTCCAAGTACTGGAGAAACTAACACCTCTAAAACATACAAATTCATCTGGATAAAAAGAGACCACACTTTACGTGACTCCTGCTTATTGAGTAAGTGCCACTGCTTCCATTCTACGTATTAGAAAGTAGAGGCACGAAGGAGCCAAAGAATTTTCCAGAGAATCAAAATCCATTAGCACAAGCACACTCCCCCCAGGTCATCCTGCCTTGTCGGCAATCTGAGCAAGGAATGACAATGGATGAATCTCATGTCTCAAAGGCACCATGGAGAAATTGATACAAAACTGTATAAAGTCAGTTGGTTTAAAGGATGCTTAGGTTGGTGTTCATTTTAGCAGAGCTGAAGATACCTTCATTAGACCATACAAACAGGCAGCTCATTTTAAGCTGACACATAATAGGATACCACACAATTAAGTCTGATGCAGTACTTTGCAAGCGGTTGGACACAGACCTGCTACTTGTATTCTCCTACAAGACCCATTTAAACTGATCAAGATAAGTAAGATCCCATATACCATATAGCAAAATATTATATATAGCAGTTGAGGGGGTTCTATGTCTCCGCTGAGAACTATTTTTTCAAGATTTGCAAAATAAAACAGCAAGAAAAGACCAAGTCTAGCCTGATATTTAACATCCATCAATAACCACCATGGTGTGGTCACTTTTATGCAGTATTATATGTATCTTGGCCTCAGTTAACAGCACAAAACTGCGGGCAGATTAACATCCAGCTTTATTTTCAACCCTTCCATGGGAAAATAAGTTCATATGTGTACTTTATTCCACTTCATAACCATGGATTCTTTATATATACTAGATTTGGCTGAAATATCAAATCAAATACACCAGTATGCCTGTGCACAAGCATTTGGCCATCAGTTTGAAGCCATGTGGTATTCTTCCACAGGCAACACTGGAAACGTCATGCTGCAGCAGATTATAAAACAGAAAAAACAGAAGAGCAGAACTTCTTAACTCATTTCTTTGCACAAGGGGGTATGAAAACATATTTCTCCCTATCCTTACTACAACAAACTGACAAAGAGTTTGCTGTAAATGGCTAGAAACAAATAGCGTTTAAATGTAACAACTGGCTTTGGAAAAAGATGTGTTTCAGGAATGTAGAGCAAGAGTTTCTCCAGCTGTTTCTTGTTGAAATGTAACATTCAAATTACTGGATACACAAGCCTGGTTTAGGCATGCAAATATTCCTCTCATCTAACTTTTAAAAGACATGAATAAAGCTTTCAGTATTTGTTTCTCTACAGCATGATCGTCCATGTAGTCACCAAATGTAACTGTACCACTGAACACTCTTCTGCTTCAGTGACCAATTAATTTCTAAACTGACATTTCTGACAAAACAAGAGTTTTCTCTTGTTCTCTTCTAGAACATAAGCTGCTGTTAGACTGCATTAATGTCAAACAGCATTGTTCAAGACCAATGGAAAGATAAAGATTTAGGCTGTACACCGGAAAGGGCAACATAATCCTCTTTTAAACTAATTTAATGATTTTATATCTCTGGTTTTCATGGCTAGATAGTGTCTGGTCTATTTCCAGAAGTGAAACCATCTAAAATGCTAAACTCATAACAGCAGAGGTAAAATCCATACTTCAGAGTTAACATTTTTACCTTTGCATTCTTGCTAGACATAAAGCTGTGCAAGGGGGGCAGATGGCATCTCTTCAACACCATCAACTCACATGCCATTAAACAGTCTACAGCTATGAGAATGTGGAGCTCTGTTGACATGTTAAAGACAGCTATGACTACATACAGCGAAAGTAGCCTTTGTGACTGCCATGCAGCATTCAGCCCTAGTTGTGTTCTTCCCCTGCCTCAGCTGCCTGACTGCTGCTATATTGTTTTGTGTCAGCAGCTCTGTAACATCCTTAAGAGACCAGTAACAGGCTGGGGAGCTTACAATATCATTTTTCCTGAAAGATAAAGCAGTCCAACATGGTGAGGCACACTGGATCTAACCTAATATTGCTCAAGTGAATCGGTTTTTTGACAATTTGGGTAAGAGGACAAGTAAAAGCATTCTGAATGAAGCACATGCATATTGATATTATATTGATATTATAATCAGAACGTGTTCCATTCACTGTTATTGCTGAAGAGTGTCCTTGACAAAGAAGACAGAACTGAGCCAAGATTAACTAGCTAGAGAGAGTACATAGATTCAGCTGGGAGCTGACAGTACTTTAATGCTGGTCATTTCAAGTTAACCTTAACAGAGAAGTACTGCTGTTCAGAATAAAGACCACCTGCATGCTTACTAGTTCAGGAGGTCTTAAATAAAATATCAAACTATTGCTTGTAAGTAACAAAGGTGAAGCTGTTTTTCTCACCAATACAACTGCAGTCACCTCCTGCAGCGTGCTGGGGAAGGGGAAAGCATAATAATTAGGGAGGTGCATCTCATCCTATTGCTTTCATATAAAGCCTTCCAACAGAGACAAATATAGGATCATGCAATTTTTAGCTCCCGGTATTAATCCTTCACCAATGTCACAGATTCCAGGCTAACTAACTGCTGCATCTTGACTCCTTATAGTCGTCTGGAGTGCATCCTGCCTCTCAGGCCATCAGCTCGGTATAAAAGTCACATCATTCTCTTGTCCACAAACCAAGCCAAGGGTTCTAGTCTCTTGTGCATTGACTGCGATTACCTCAACAGGGCTGACATGCTCTGACCTGGCAATTCCAACAAAAACTAAGAAACAGCACAAGTATGTAGGGTAAAAAAGGGAAAAAATAACAAATAAGAAATGCGGAGTTGCAAACTACATTACAATTAGCAGGCATAGGGAAAACAACAGGTTCTACAAGTGAAGTAGTTGTAAAAAGAGGATTCAAAGAATGGGTAGATTTGTTTCTCTAACAAGTGCTTTTCTCCACTTGTTGGAGAAAAGCAACTTATACATATTGCTAATACTTCAAATCTTTACTGCTGTTGGCACAGAAAAATTGTGACCAAATATTTAACAACTTTATAGAGAGGTCAGTATTCTTTTTATTCTTATTTTTCCTTTAAGTTTCACACTGATAGGGATTAATATATTCTGGTACTAGAACTCTTTGAAGTAATCTTCATATCATAAGCAGAGGCCAAATACACTGACCCATCTTTGAAAAGGAAGTGAAATAAATGTATCTTCAATATCCCAAAGGCAGCAGACTGAGGAATAAGCAATAAGTACCCTCACAATAATATAACTAATAAACAGCCAGTGTGGGTTTGGCAGGAACAGGTTTTGCCAAAGCAAATTCATTCACTTTTTGACAAGTTAATTGAGCAAGCAAACAAAGGAGAAGCAGCAGAGCTGGCATGTCCCAACTTAGTATTGCTCTCAAAATCATCTCAGCATGGCATTTCCACAAGAAAGAGTGGGAAACAGGAGTTATAGTGAATCAAGAACGGAATCTGAGCCAACAACATGATGCCAAGAAAGCAAATGTCACATCAAGATGAATTTTTGTGTCACAGGCAAGGCTCAGTACACAACCTTCTGCTTTAGTCAGTATAGCTGAGGCTTCAGCTCATGTACAGTGCTCTGTTTGCAGAGCATAGTAGGAAAAAGGTAGACAAACAGTAGCCAGTCAGAGAACATTAAAAGAAAAGGTTCAGAGATTGAAGGTAAATTCTCACTCTATGATGGCATCTTACTGTGGAACTTGCTTAGAAGTCTGTAGAAAAACATCTGTGTGGTCTGACAAGTCCAAAAATTTGTCCCTGTTTCCTCCAGCTCCAGTAGCTGGTCTAATGATAGATACTGTATTGTCCTAAAAACCATTTTGGCTTCAAATCCATCAGCATATGAAACACAACAGTACTCATGATGGATCTGATACTGATTCATAAGTACAGTTTCTCCACAGAGAGAAACTACAGAGATAAAAAGGCCATTTTCAAAACCTGGCTTCTCCCCCCAGGCACTGAATATGTAATGGCCATTAAATATATATGGTAAACACAGTGTTCAAAAAAACTCTGTGAGAATAATGAAACAAAAAGGTGCGGTATTGAACAACAATAACAACAAAGCCCTGGGATTCCCTTTAAATGCCTGAGATCCAGCTTCAAGAAGGCAGCTTTCAGATGAAGAATTCAACACTTTAGACAAGAAGCCTCCAACAACATCTCTACACACCTTATTTCATTTTAATTCTACTTTTGTAGTATCAACCTCACTTACCTAGTGAGCTTCTGTTAAAAACAGGAAGCCTTTGGCCCCTGCTTTCTCATCCTACTTCAAAAAATATTTAAGGTAAAAGGCAAATGAAAACATCTCTTTTGGAAGAGAATTTCCTATCCTCCACTGCTCCTGGAATTGAGCGTGGCTTTAAAAAGATGAAGGTTGCTGCATCTCCTAAACTACAAGAGATAAGAGCAAAATAACATGACTGCCAGTTCTACACAGTTGAGATTTAACTTACCTGCTCAGTCCTGTGGTACAACATAAGTAGTAATTTATTTCGTTCCCACTTTATAAGCCAGTCAATAACCATATGAAACTAAAGGATCCCAAACGTTATGTTCAATCTACCTAAAATTAAGGCTCCACAACAAGTATCGTTTTGCATTCAGCTGCTCCAATATGTTAGAAAATCCACCAAAATAGTCTCACAACCAGTATAGAATTCGTGTATATTTAAAATAGACAGGCCAGTCTCCAATCTCCTACCCCTAATGTTGGTTTTGATTTATGCTATCATTTAGAATACTTACTGAATTCATTTGCATCAAAGAATTCATGAGAATCCTTTTTTCTCCTTTGAAATCAGCAAACACCTTGACATTTCAGGCCTCCCTCTGCCAATAAACCTTCAACTGTCTTTACAGTTTGGAACTGAGAAAGGATTAAAGTGACTGAGGGTTTAAAATAAAAAACACAAAAAGAGGAGAAAGAACTAAAAATTACCAGTTGGTTTTAAGAAAGGGAATTTCCAAACACAGCTTAGCTTGCTGAAAAACAGTGCTCTTGTGAAGTGCTTTAAACACTGTGTCTTAAAGAGGAAAAATGAGGCATAAAGCAACACATGTTCTTTCTCTGTAGTTAAACCCTCCCACTATTTAAAGAAATATTAACAAACTAGGATTACTAAACTTGGAAGAGTTCTCTGTCCTTAAGCTATCGAATGAAGAGAACCCCCAAATAGCTATCCATTTGGCATTCCTCTGAGAGGTAAGAACAAAGACTGCAGATTGAACAGCAATTGTGTGAATTAGCTCAAGTTCCTTGGAGTGGGGTAACATTTGCTCCTAATTTGACAGATGTGAAGGAAAAAGCAGACTGCAAAATCCCCAGAGTCCTCTCATAACTATTAGGGCTATTAGGGAATCTACTGGGGATCTGATGTTCTTCTGAGGCACGGTTATTCAAGGCGTATTCAACCCCATGTCAGTGAGAGAGACAGGATAGGAAGGAGCATTCTCTATTTGACAGCCCAGGGCTAGTTACCAAAGCAAGAGGAGCTGAGATAGTTTAAAGATCCAACTTAAAAGCTGGCTTCCAAAATGGCAAAAAAGAGAAAAGAATGGATGAGACCAGTGACACAGACATATCTACACCAGGAAGGCGATTCAATAGCAAAAATACTGCACTTTGATCAGAAATCAGGAAAGAAACGATATCCTAGAATATGATTACATTTTATCTGGGCTATCTTAATTTTTCCGCATTTAATAGAACCTTTAACATTGAGACCTATGTAACAGAAAACTTCTCTAAGGATACAGAGAAAGATAAGACTGATGTTACAAGAGTAGATTGTGAATCAATACCTGAGTAGCTCATGAATCAATACCAAACTAATCCTGGCAACCTTCCTAAGAGAGAAAGACAAACTTCCTTCAACCCTGCTCACCTCTGGGATAAGCCGGTCCAAGTGCTCCGCTCTGTTCCCATGAGAAGGGTGTGTGGAAAGCCACTCTGGTAACTTGGGCTGCCCTTGAATGGTTTCTGCTAATTCCATTTGCTGCCAAAATACACTGCTTGCTCTTACATCCACACAAGCCTGAAAACAGAAAGGAAATGTATAAACCACTGTGTTCTTAAAGGAATACAATATACATTCTAATGGATATTGCATTACAAGACTTCTTAAATTTTAAATCTCTCAAGTTTGTTTAGATGGGCCCCCTCATACCTGACAGGAAAAGGTTGTTCTGAAATATCTAATTATAAGGTGAAGGGTCTAGAGAATAAGTGTGATGAGGAACAGCTGAGGGAACTGGGGTTGATTAGTCTGGAGAAGAGAAGGCTCAGAGGGTGCCTTATTTCTCTGTACAGCTACCTGAAAGGAGGTTGTAGTGAGGTGGGGTTGGTCTCTTCTCCCAAGTAGCAAGTGACAGGACAAGAGGAAATTGCCTCAAGCTGCACCAGGGGAGGTTTAGACTGGAGATTAGGAAATATTTCCTGAGAGGGAGCTCAGTCATTGGAAGAGGCTGCCCAGGGCAGTGCTGGAGTCACCATCCCTGGAAGCATTCACACACTATGTAGATGAGGCCCTCAGTGCCATGGGTTAGTGGTGGCCTTGGCAGTGCTGGGGAATGGTTGGACTTGATGAGCTTAAAGGTCTTTTCCAGCCTGGTTAATTCCATGATTCTAATTGCAGTGAAAGACTCATACAGATAAAACACTGGACTTAACTGCTTTTAACATCTATATATTTCCACTGATCTTAAAAACCTTACAGCTGAATTAAACAATTCAGGAGAAAAACAGATTGACAATTTCTGGCATGTACTTGTTCTTTAAAAAATCAAACAACTCAGGTGCATACTCTAGTTTACATTTGCTAGACACAGTGCAGCAAAAGAACAAATTAATCATCTCCACAGATTTAGGCAAATTTACAGGAAGAAGTTTAGAGCCAAAAATAGAAAGTGATAATAATTCATACTTAAGTATCTCTAAAAATGAAGTGCAAAGGCTTCTCTGTAAGTTGATTACACTGCCTTTTTCAAGGCTGATCTGTGCAATCCACACAGATTAAAATAGTCATTCTGCAGAATTCCTCTCTCTCTCCACAGAAGTATGTATTTAACCACAGACAGTCATGGAACACTAACTTTAAGAACGGTATTTGTATATCACCAACAGGCCTCTTTATATTTGCATTTAAATGGAGGGGGGGAAAGAAAAAGATTTCCTACATTAATTTTCATTTGTTTAAGAGAAAAGAGACGAGTTCTCAGAAGGTAAGAAAATTACTTTTCTTTCCCCCCCCAGGAATCCAGAAGTGCTTTATCCTTTGAATTTATTTCTTCAAATTATCATTATAAAAAGATTACCTGCACCAGCAGAGTAATGCTGAGATACTGCTTTGCTTGGTTCTTTCTGGTATGGCCCCAGATCTTTAGCATTACAAAGCAGTGAGCACCCACACAGCAGTTACTGTTTTTCCCCCCACAGAATGTGGTATTCCCTTAGATGACTTTAAACTACAAATGCAGTTTGAATTCTAGAGTCAAAGTTAATTTTAAAAACTCTTCCTTGAAGAAATATTAATTATCAAGAAAATGACGTTTTCTTTATGAAATATTAACACCAGATGGTGCTGCTCTCACAGTTATGTAACATTTATCTACCTCTATTGAACTCAGCTATAAAAAGAGTTGGTTTAGTGTCTTGAATTTAGAATTAAAATACACTGGCACAAAAAAGTGATTGAAAAAATAAACAAACTAGGAAAAAATTGCTGAGCAGTTTCTGACCAAATCTGTGTCTGTTTTTAACAAAATCACATTATTTTTATGGATGTATTTAGACTAAATATTGAAATTCTAGAACAATGTTGATATACTTTATAATTATCAGCAATCACAGAAAATGTGATCACAATATCAAAAAGTTCTTCAATTTTACTGTGTTATGAGAATAGATATTACAGATCAGGTGCACTAAAATAGATATAAGGAAGAAGTTCTTCCTTATACATTAGGGTGAGGATGGTGAGACACTGGCACAGAGTGCCCAGAGAAGCTGTGGCTGCCCCATCCCTGGCAGTGTTCAAGGCCAGGTTGGACACAGGGGCTTGAAGCAACCTGCTCTAGTGGAAGGTGTCCCTGCCCGTGGCAGGGGGTTGGAACTGGATGAGCTCTAAGGTCCCTTCCAACACAAACCATTCTAGGATTCTACTATTAGGAGTACTTTATAACTTTCCAAGCTATTAAATCTTTCTTAGGGAAGCTCACTATTTGGCATTCTCCTCTTTATAAATATGTAGCTTTTTCTTCTAGTAATAATAAACTGCATAGCAAGTATACTGTGCAGTTAACAATGCACAACTTTACAAATTTCAATCTTATTACATACAATTTAGCCAGGGCGACTTTGTCTTTCCCT